GATCTTCAGACTGCTCGTGCTCTCTATGTCAAGGAGAGTTCAGAGTGGCAATTGCAGGAATTTCGTGTTATGGATTATCTCACTCGCTGTGTTGGCTCTGGTCTCACTGTCGAGATTGGCTCGCTTCCCTCTGCTCAGGCCATGTGGACTCGTCTCACTGAGCGTTTCACTGAGTGCTCGGGTGCACGGGAGGCATATCTTCTGCAACGCATTTCTCTACAACGCAAAGGTAGTTCATCTCTGCAGTCCCATTTTGGACAAATGCAAGCTTTTTGGACAGAGTTACGCTCCATGCTTCCTGGACGTAATTCCACATATGAAGACTGGCTAGCCTGGTACGAACGGCATGAGGTGCATCAATTGTTTCAGTCCCTTCCTGAATATTCAACTATGGCTGATCAACTACTTCACCAGCCTCAATTTCCGACTTTGGCCTCAGTTATGGGAGCTCTCACTGCTTATGAGACCCGGCAGCAGACAGCACGACTCAATTTGTCAACAGACACTCCTACCTCTTCACTCGAGACTGTTTTGTCTGTACCTGTCACTGCTCCTGTTATGAATTATACTTCTCCACAGGCTCCCTCTCCACAGGCTCGATCTAAGCTCTCTTGCAAATATTGTAAGAAGGAAGGACACCGCATTGAGACATGCTTCAAGCTTCATCCTGAGTTACGTTCCTCAGGTACTGGACGTGGTCGGCGACCCCCTCAGTCTCAACCCTCTCGTACACCAGGATTGTTGGCCAATGCTATACCTTCTACTACTTCAGACTCTACTATTCAAGCTATTGAAAGTCTTCGCCGTCAACTTGATGCTTTTCAACATATCACCTCTACATCCGCCGCACAACTCTCTGGTATGCATTTTGCTGGTTCTTCAGCTAATCCTTCAGTCTCTGGTATGAATGATCTCTGGATTTTTGACTCTGGTTGTTCCTTTCATATGACTTGTAATGCCTCACTTTTATCCTCTGTCTTTACTTCATCCTCTCTTCCTCCTATCTACACAGCTGCTGGACAACCATTGTCCATTACTCAGTATGGCTCTATTACCCCACAAAATGATCCATCTGGTCGTCTAACACTTGGTCCCGTCTATGTGGCTCCACAATTGTGCTTGAATTTAATTTCTATTAGCTCTTTATGCATGGCGGGCCTGTTTGTCTCATTTTCTTCTGATACTTGTATTGTGCAGGATCCACAGACGGGCAAGACGGTTGGGGCGGGTCGTAGGAGGCACAAACTGTATTTTCTGGAATATCTTCACCTTCCAGAGTCCATACGTCCACGTTCTCTTGTTGCTTCTCTTTGTTCGTCAAAACCCTCTACCTCGCTTCCTGCCAATTTATGGCATAGACGACTTGGTCATGTGTGTAATAAAAGGCTGGAGAGTCTTATTCAGTCTGGAGTACTTGGTCCTGTATCATCTAGTTCTAGTATTGAGTCATGTGCTGGTTGCAAATTGGCTAAATTCACTGCTTTACCATTTAAAATGAGTACATCTGTATCCACTTCCTTATTTGATTTAGTACATTCTGATATTTGGGGGCCAGCTCCTTTGCCTTCTTCATCTGGCTACTTATATTATGTTAGTTTTATCGACGATTTCTCTCGTTTTACATGGGTTTACCTACTTAAGAATCGCTCTGACGTACTTACTGCTTATCAAGCCTTCACTGCTATGATTTTCACTCAATGGCAATCTCGTATTAAAGTTTTTCGTTCTGATTGTGCCAAAGAGTACCTATCCTCTGCCATGCGCTCTATCATGTCCTCTCATGGGACTATCTTTCAACAGTCATGTCCCTACACTCATGAGCAAAATGGTGTTGCTGAACGCAAACATCGTCATATCCTCGATACTGCCCGATCAATGCTCATTTCTTACTCTGTTCCTCGTCGTTTCTGGGCTGAGGCTATTCTCACCGCGACTCATGCCATTAATATCACTCCATCTAGCTCTCTTTCCGGTGCTACTCCTTATAGTCGTGTTTATACTCATCCTCCCCGTTATGATCTAGTTCGCGTTTTTGGTTGTCGATGTTTTGTTTTTCTGCCATCTCACGAACGTGATAAATTGTCTCCCAGAGCAGTTTCTTGTGTTTATTTAGGAATTAGTTCAGAACATCGAGGTTATCGTTGTTATGATCCCGCAACTCGTCGAGTTCATATATCTCGTCATGTTCAGTTCGAAGAGGATTCTCCATATTATTCTACTTCTGATGACTTTAATTTCCTCCACTCTACCGATCATGCTTCCCCGTCCACTGCATCACCCACTTCTTCACCTCAATTTTCCTTTCGAGATCTCCCTGACATCTCTCCCTCTCCTTCTGTTGACTCTTCCTCACCTGAGTCTTCTCTTACACCATCTAATCCATATCCTGTGGACACAACTCTCACTCCAGAAAATACTGTTGATCTTCATGCACCTGCGCCAGCATCTCCCCCGCCTGAGGTTCCTCTTGCTCTTCGTCGAGGCAAACGCCCACATGTCATGCCTGCCCGGTATGCTTCTGTTACTTCTTATTCACCTATCTTTCATAACTTTCTTGCTGCCATTCATACTATTGTTGAGCCAAAGTCCTTCCAAGAGGCAGTTCAAATTCCAGAGTGGCGACAAGCTATGGCTGAGGAATTTCAAGCATTTCAGCAAACTCATACCTGGGATATTGTTCCCTGTCCTCCTGGGATCTCTCTTGTTGGCAGTAAATGGGTTTATAAGGTCAAGTTTCGTCCTGATGGCACCATTGAACGTCGAAAAGCTCGTTTAGTGGCTAGAGGTTTTACTCAGCAACAAGGTATTGATTATGAGGAGACCTTTGCTCCTGTTGCTCAGATGCCCACTGTGCGTACTCTCCTTGCGGTCGCTGCTGCTCATCGTTGGCCCTTATACCAGATGGATGTCAAAAATGCTTTTCTTCATGGCTCTTTATCAGAGACCGTATATATGCAACCGCCTCCAGGGTCAAATATTCCTCCGGGACATGTATGTCTCCTTCGTCGTGCTGTTTATGGTCTCAAACAGGCACCCCGCGCTTGGTTTGAGTGTTTTCGCGATGTTGTGCTCAAAGCGGGCTTTATAGAAAGTCATCAAGATGCTTCTCTGTTTGTTCGCACTACATCGCGTGGCAGGGTTTTATTACTCATCTATGTAGATGATATGATCATTACAGGTGATGATATGACAGGTATACAATACGCAAAATCTCAGTTGCAACAACAGTTCCACATGAAGGATCTTGGATCTCTTCGGTATTTCCTTGGTCTAGAAATTTCTCAAGGCCCGCGGGGTGTATTACTGTCTCAACAGAAGTATCTCTCAGATATTCTAAATCAAGCTGAGTTAACTGATAATACAACTGTCGATACTCCACTCCAGCAGAATGTCAAACTTTGCTCTACTGACGGTGAGCCTCTATCTGATCCTACCCGATATCGACATCTTGTTGGTCAGTTGGTCTATTTGTGCATCTCTCGACCAGATATCTCTCATGCTGTTGGTATTGTCAGTCAATTTGTTAGTGCCCCACGTTCTGTACACTATGCTGTCTTATTACGGATTCTTCGGTACCTCCGGGGTACTAGCACTCGCTCACTTTTGTTTCCTGCTACATCTAAGTTAGAGCTTTGTGCATATTCTGATGCTGATTGGGCTGGTGATCCAACTACCAGAAAGTCTACCACAGGTTATTGTATATTTCTTGGTGATTCCCTTATTTCCTGGCGAAGTAAGAAACAAGATGTTATTGCTCTTTCCAGTACTGAGGCAGAGTATCGTGCAATGTCCACAACAGCTAAAGAGATTATTCATCTTCGTCGCCTTCTCAGTGATTTCGGTATTTCTGTTACGACTCCTACTCCTCTCTACTGTGATAATAAGAGTGCCATCCAGATTGCTAATAATCCAGTATTTCATGAAAGGACCAAACATATTGAGATCGACGCTCATTTTGTCCGTCACCAAGTTATCAAGGACAAGACAATTCTACTTCCTCATGTTTCATCCGCTGACGAGCTTGCAGATTTCTTCACAAAGGCATTACCTGTTCATCGGTTCCAGTTTCTTGTACGCAAACTCACTTTGTTTGATCCAACATGAGTTTGAAGGGGGCTGTTGATAATAGTGTATTGTAGTGGGTTTTAGTCCCACATTGCTTGGGAGAACAAACCTCACACTCCTCTACTTGTATAAATATATGTGCACACTCAATATTCAATTCAAGGGAAATTTACCCAAGATTCTCTCTCTCTCTCTTACTTTAACAGTTTGGGCACATGGATGATAGCTTTGTAACCTTATTGGAGTACATGGATGAACTTTATAAACTTATTGGAGTATATGGATGCAGCATTAGTAATAAGAGTTGTATATATTATTTTGCAAGGGAATTCGAAATTGAGAGGTTTTAAATAGTCGGATTTCTCATGTTGTGTCCTACTTCAATGTAATTTCTACAAGAAGGATTAGAACAAGGTTTCATTGATTTTGGTATGCTTTTGCAAGAAATGCTCTTTTGATGTGTTTTCACGAAGACACCCCTGAAGTCTGGTATTTCTTTTGTTTTTGTGTAAATGTCTATTTGTCTCTTAATTATAGTTCACCATTTAATTGCTCTACAATTTGTCATAATCTCCTTTCTTTTCTTTTTATTTTCTTTTTTCCTTTGAAAGCGCATCATTTTCCCCAGATAAGTTGCTTTGGACATGGATATTGTGAAATTATTTTCTCAATAATGAATCTGCATAGTGTTTTTAATAGCCAATAGTCAGCTAGACATAATTCTTCTGAAAATCCTTTCACCTTAATTTGTAGTATGAAGTACAATACTGCTAATTAATTATTAGTTTTATCATTTTCCATGACGTTTTTAACTCCAAAACAACCTTCTAAGTTCAACCTATTTACAAATGTAGGTGTGGAAGACCTATCCACCGCACAATCCCTTAAATTATGGATTAAAGAGCTAGATTTTAGGCTTTTCTATTTACAAAAAATGCCATGAAGCACCGAAGCTGTTCACAAACATTTCTAAAGAAAATATTTCCAACAAAAATCATCTTCAGATTCTCCACATAGAGAATAAATTAACATTTCTAAAGAAAACATTTCCGACAAAAACCATATTCAGATAGAACGCGGAAATCCCCCATCAGCAACGGAGCAACCATGTGAACAATCAAGTCTGCTATCTTTCATCGGAAAACAACACTAGCTCCGACAATATACTCGATCGAGAGAACATTAATAAAAAGTGTTTTAAAAAAGTGGCGGATCGAGGAAGAGACGAAATCATTTTTTTGCTTCTTTCTCCGCTTTCCTCCTCGCTCTCGTCTCTCTTGAACTAGCAGACGACCTGAACCCACCACCGCCACCAGTCTCAGGCTCCGACTCGTCCAGATCTCTGAAGGATTTCTACAAAAACAAAGCAAGAGAAATAGAACACAGGATGAATATTTATTGAAATATGAGAGAAGAAGTAATTAAAAGTTTATAAAAAGAATTAAGTTGATCACCTCTCGCAGTTCGTTAAAGCTGACAGCGTAGAATGTTGCAGCAGCAGCAGCTATTATTGCGATGATAGGAAGAGCTGCATCCATTCTCCAATAATAACAGCTTCCTTCTCCTCGAGTTTCAAGAGTGCTGAGATCTTTCTATGCTAGCCACATACCGATACGTTCATGCGTTCTCTTATCCAATGCATTTTATAATCCATTTACTTTACATGGCCCACCTGAATTTTTTAATAAAAGTGTAGAATCGGCGAGAAATTTTGGATCAGAACAGATTTGGAGGCGCAGGAATCGTTTTGGGTGCTGCGCGGTCGACCGCGGCACAAGGCCGGTCGACCGCGAGACCCTGTTGTTGGATTTAATCTAATAAATCTATTTGTGGGCACATATGATTAATCAATGTGTATTGCTATCTTTCAGGATAACCCACTAAAGTGATCAATTAAGTTGGGTTAATTTGGTATTTAAATAAGTCATGGAGTTATATGTGCAGATACTAGGTTGTAATTGTAATTTATTGAGGGGCTAAATTACAAAAGTACAACATCTATAAATAAGGGGTTATGGTCCCTAATCTAGGGTAACATTCTCTAATTCTCTTCACCCCCATCTAAGAGAGAAATTCGGCTAAGAGAGAACCCTAAGGTTAGAAGATTAAAACCCATCTCAAGATCAAGCAATGGATTCAGGTATAAGCTTCCGCTCTTTTAGATCATTGTTAATCTCTTTGAATTAATCATGGCTATATGGTTTTAGATCTAAAGTTTATGATGTAGATCTAACAAGTGGTATCAGAGCCACCTTGATTAATTCTTAGGGATTTAAGTTTTATTGGGTTTTTTGATCTTAAATCTCTGGTTAAAGATTCATTTTTTGGGTTCGGATGAACAGTAATGTTCTCGGATGAACAGTAACGAAAATTTTTTCGGGTGAAAAGTAAAGTTTTCTTTTCGGATGAACAGTAACTGAAAAATCGCCAGTGAACAGTAACTTTTGGGAATTTTTTGGATTTTTCTTTGATTTTTCCTTCAATTTTTTCCAATTCTGGATCTGTTTTGAAAATAAAAATCAAAGGTTTTTTGGGTTTGTCGGCGGCGGTTTCAATTTGAAACCCTAAGGGTTTATGGCGAAAATTAAGGAGGTGGTTACCTCAAACGAACCTCGCGTTTGTTCAATTTTAACCGAGCTTCGCGCTCAACGAACCTCGCGTTCGTTCTAAGGTGAACCTCGCGTTCAACTCAGGTGAGCGTCAAGCTCAATTTTTTAACGAACCTCGCGTTCGTTCCAAGGTGAACCTCGCGTTCAACTCAGGTGAGCGTCAAGCTCAATTTTTTAAACGAACCTCGCGTTCGTTCTTCAGACGAACCTCGCGTTCGTACTTCAGACGAACCTCGCGTTCGTACTTCAGACGAACCTCGCGTTCGTACTTCAGACGAACCTCGCGTTCGTACTTCAGTTGAACCTCGCGTTCATTTTTTTTAACGAACCTCGCGTTCGTTCCCAAGTTGAACCTCGCGTTCTTTTATCAAACGAACCTCGCGTTCGTTCATTTTCAGACGAACCTCGCGTTCGTGCTTAAGTGAGTCTCGTACTCAATACAGTCGAACCTCGCGTTCGAAGTTAAGGGAACTTCGTGTTCATTATGGTTAAGCCTCGGCTTTTCATGGGTCCACTTTGGTATACTTAATTTATTCAATTAAGTTATGGGCCCTAATTAAGCTGTGAGACCCCAATTAAGTTTTTGGAAATTCAGTTGATTTAAATTTTTTAATTTAAATCTAATTCGGTTTTTAATCAATTATTTAATTCAAATATTATGACACTAAGGTATTAAGGTTGTCTCTCACTCCAATTGATTAATTGAAACAAGAAGTTGCCAAAGTAACCTCTCTTGTGTAGATTGTTCATGAGGAATGTGAGATGTTTGTGTGTATGCTTTCGTGTAAATATTTAATCGGCCCAAAGGAAGGTTAATATTTATTTAGACTGTATACACATCTGCGATGATAAGCGTGTGACAATTATAAGGTTTACATGTGAATAATGAATCGATCCAAAGATAGTTTCATTATTTGACATGAGTTATTGTCAATGTTTGATCATTGCAACAAGGTATCACTTACAAGTTAATATTACTGTCCAAAGACTTGATATTAATGTTGTGCCGGTATCTTGGATGGGGATTGTCATTATTTGAATTTTATTGATTATGGTTATTGATGTGAGCATTCTTTTGTTTTATTTCAGCTAATGCATCTGCTGCAACAATTTCTGCTAACATCAACTCAATTCCCATGCTAAATGGGACAAACTTCAAGGTTTGGAAAGAGAACATATTAATTGTTCTTGGCTGCATGGATCTTGACTATGCATTAAGAACTGAACAACCCCAACCTCTCAATGCGGATAGCACTCCTGATGCAAAGAAGGAGCATGAGAAGTGGGAGCGTTCAAATCGCATGAGTCTTATGATCATTAAGCGCGGCGTTCCGGAAGCCTTCAGGGGCATAGAATCCGAAGGGATTACTAAGGCTAAAGATTTCCTTGCCGAAATTGAGAAGCGTTTTGCGAAAAACGATAAGGTAGAAACAAGCACGCTTTTAGCTCGCTTGATTTCAATGAAGTATAAGGGCAAAGGAAATATCAGGGAGTACATTATGGAAATGTCTCATATTGCTTCAAAGCTTAAGGCACTTAAACTCGATCTTTGTGACGAGTTATTAGTGCATCTGGTTTTGTTGTCTCTTCCTGCACAGTTTAACCAATTTAAGGTCAGTTATAACTGTCAAAAGGAGAAATGGACTCTAAATGAGCTCATTTCATACTGTGTGCAAGAAGAAGACAGGTTGAAGCAAGATAAGACAGAAAGTGCTCATTTGGCCTATGCCTCTAAGGATAAGGGCAAGAAAAGGAAGAATGATAAGGAAGCTGCTAAGGGTCCAGTTGAGAAGAAACAACATAAGGATAATCAGGGTTGTTTCTTCTGTAAGAAGCCTGGACATGTAAAGAAGGACTGTACAAAATATCACGCCTGGCGTGATAATAAGGGTACGTTCCTTGCTTTGGTCTGTTCTGAGGTTAATTTAGCTTCAGTACCTAGAAACACTTGGTGGTTAGACTCTGGTGCTACTACTCACATAAGTGTTTCTATGCAGGGTTGCCTGAGCTACCGAAAGCCAAGTGATGTTGAAAGACACATCTTTGTGGGCGACGGACAATCGGTAGATGTGGAAGCAATTGGGCACTTTAGGTTGTTGTTAGGAACTGGTTATTATTTGGATTTAAAAGATACTTTTGTAGTACCGTCTTTTAGACGGAATTTGGTTTCTGTTTCTGTATTGGACAAATCAGGTTATTCTTGTTCATTTGGAAACAGTCAATTCAGTTTATCTTTTAATTCAAATGTTGTGGGAACCGGTTACTTGAGTATTTATGACAACCTATATTTGCTTGATACAATTGCTTCTTACAATGAATCCTTGCATGTGGAATCACGTGGTACTAAGCGTAAATTAAATAAGGAAAATTCGGCGACATTATGGCATAAGCGCTTAGGTCATATCTCAAAAGGTAGAATTGAGCGTCTTGTGTCTGATGGCATTTTGGATTCCCTTGATTTTTCGGACTTCGACGTATGTGTTGAATGTATCAAGGGAAAACAGACCAAAGTGAAAAGATTAGGTGCCAACAGATCTTCGGATGTCTTAGAATTGATACATACGGATATTTGTGGGCCATTCCCTACGGAATCCTGGAATGGTCAACAATATTTTATATCATTCATAGACGATTACTCACGTTATGGGCACCTATATCTTATTCATGAAAAATCTGAGTCTCTGGACATGTTCAAAGCCTATAAAGCTGAAGTTGAGAATCAACTCAACAGAAGAATTAAAACCGTCAGATCTGATCGTGGTGGTGAGTACTACGGTAGATATGATGGTTCAGGTGAACAACGTCCAGGACCATTTGCTAGATACCTAGAGGAATACGGTATCGTCCCACAGTACACCATGCCGGGTTCACCTAGCATGAATGGTGTAGCTGAAAGACGAAACAGGACTCTTAAGGATATGGTAAGAAGTATGATTGCTCATTCTTCTTTACCAGAGTCACTCTGGGGAGAAGCACTTAAGACAGCAGCTTACATTCTGAATAGAGTACCAAGTAAAGCAGTTGCTAAAACACCTTATGAGCTTTGGACTGGTCGAAAGCCCAGTTTAAAGCATTTACATATTTGGGGATGTCCAGCTGAGGCAAGGCCTTATAGGCCAAATGAAAAGAAATTGGACTCCAAAACAGTTAGCAGCTACTTTATTGGATACTCTGAACGCTCTAGGGGCTTTAAGTTTTATGATCCCACTATAAGGAACATTTTTGAGACGGGAACAGCAACATTCTTTGAGGATGTTGAGTTTGGGGGGAGAAATAAGGTTAGAGACATTAGTTTTGAGGAGGAATTGGCTTCAGATCCAATCCATACAGTTACTTTTGACAATATTCAGGTTCCTATACCTGTTGTTGCTCAAGAAGTAAATCCGGAACCTCAAGATGATAATGTTGAACAACTCCCTGTTCCAGAAGAACAAACTCAACAACCTCAAGAACCAGTGCCATTAAGGAGATCCACGAGAGAAAGGAGAAATGCTATTCCGGATGATTATATTGTATTTCTCCAAGAACATGAGGAAAGTAGTGGAATGTTAGAAGATGATCCAATCAACTTCTCTCAGGCCATGAAAAGTTCTAACTCTCAACAGTGGATTGATGCCATGAATGAAGAGTACAAGTCTATGCAAGACAATAAGGTTTGGGAACTTGTCCCATTACCAGAAGGTGCAAAACCAATTGGTTGTAAATGGATTTTTAAAACCAAGCGGGATGCAAACGGTAATGTGGAGAGGTATAAGGCACGTCTTGTGGCTAAAGGCTATACTCAAAAGGAAGGCATTGATTATACAGAGACTTTCTCTCCGGTTTCATCGAAAGACTCTTTCAGAATAATCATGGCACTTGTTGCTCATTATGATCTTGAGTTACATCAGATGGATGTTAAGACTGCATTTCTCAATGGAGACATTGATGAGATGATCTATATGGTGCAACCAGAAAACTTTGTGTCGGGAGACCCAAAGAATATGGTCTGCAAATTAAGGAAATCCATCTATGG